GATTTCCCGGTAGGGGGGCTCTTCGTTCCACTTCGATCTCACCCCCTCACCTCCGATATATACACAGGCATACAGACATGTATACATATATATATATATATATATATATAGATGTACGTACATGGACCCGTGGATTAAATCCACGATGTTGGGCGGATCGAAGCATGGTGGCGCGCGCTGGGTGGTGCGACGCTGCCAGCTACTGCCGTAGATCCCTGGAAACTTGTTCTAGTGCTGTTCCCCCACCGAAGTCGCCCAATACATCGAAACGGGGGCCGAAGTGTTCGAGCTTCGCAAGAGGCAGAAATTCATGAGTCCAGGCCTGAGCAACGTTGGAAGATTCGCGCCGGGGTCGCGGCGGACGCGGGAGCGGGTTCGGGCAAACGCGGCGCCGTCTCGGGCCGCGTCGGAGGCGTCGGAACGGCGTCGCGGCAAAGTAGGGAGCGCAGCGGGGCAGCCCCAGGGCCACCGGAGCGTCAAAACATAATTTTTGTTGCGCCTGCGAGGGGCCTCTCGCCTCTCGTCGGCCCCCCTCTGTTGGAAGAAATTTTGAAGCTTCTTGGGAGCCTTTTGGGAGCTCTATTGGGGCTGTTTTGGGCTCCTCGGGGGCTTCTCGGAGCCCTCTTGGGCTGGCAGGGCGCCTCGTGGGCCGTCTTGGGGCCGTCTTGGGCCATCTTGGGCGCCTATCGGGCCGTCTTGGGGCCATCGTGGGCTGTCCTGGGCCCCTCTTGGGCCTCTCGTGGGGTCCTCTTGGGTCGTCTTGGGCGCCTTTTGGGCCGTCCTGGGCCCGTCTGGAGCCATCTTTGGGCCCTCTTGGGGCCGTCTTGGGCGATCTTGGAAGCCTCTGGGGCCGCTGTGGACGCGTCGAAAAACAAGAAGCCGAATCTGCTGAAAATGTCAATTTCCCAAAGGGAATGTGACGACTTTAGCTTGAAGGAACCCTTTCGGGTGACCCCTTGGACCCGCCTGAAACCGTCCGGGGGCGTCTTTGGGGCTCATGGGGCCGTCTGGAAAGCATCTTGGGCCGCCTGAGCTCGTCTCGGGGCCTCCATAGGCCGTCTCGGGGCTGTCCTGGGCCCCTCTTGGGCCTCTCGTGGGGTCCTCTTGGGTCGTCTTGGGCGCCTCTTGGGCCGTGCTGGGCCATCTTTGCGCCCTCTTGGGGGCCGGCTTATGCGATCTTGGAAGCCTCTGGGGCCGTTTTGGACGCTTCGAAGACCAATAAGCCGAATCTGCTGAAAATGCAAATTTTCGGAAGGGGCTGTGACGATGTTTGCTTGATGGAGCCTTTTCGGGGGAACCCCTTGGACCCGCCTGGAGCCGTCCGGGGGCGTCTTTGGGGGTCATGGGGCCATCTGGAGAACATCTTGGACCGCCTGAAAGCCGTCTTGGGTCGTCTCGGGGCCTCCATGGGCAGTCTCGGGGCTCTTCTGGGGAGCTCCGGTGCCGTTTCGGGCCCTTCGGGGGGCCCTCCGGAGCCGTTTCGGGGTTCTCTGAGGGCTCCGGGGACCGGGGCCCACGCAAACCCACAAAGCATGTTTCGGATTTATTTGAATGGATATATGTATTCCTGTCTTAATTGTCTCACACCAGGAAACTGACACAGATAGGCGCCCTCCCCCCCAACACATAAAAACTGGCGGGCCCCAGAGGACCCAGGGGTCCCTGAGGCTCTCTCTGGTCCGGCCTGTTGGAAGCCTCTTGAAGCGTCTGAGAGCGTTCTTAGGCCGAGCCGGGGCCATCTTGGGCGTTTTGGGGCGATGTTTCGGCGACTCTAGGCTCCGTTGGACCATTTGGAGGACACGTGGTGCTCTTTCAGCACGGTTCGGGACTGCCTTGGGCCGTTTCTGAGTTCCCGGAGGCCCTGTCCCCCTATGCCCCCCCGTTGGTCCCTGGGCCCGGCCAGGGATCCTCGCCCCCCAGACTGAATATTCAAGAAAACATGCATATACATACATACATCGTTATGCACACACACATATATATATATAGATATGTGTAGATGAATAGCTACAGATCTGTATATACATGTTGATACAAGCACACATGCATACATACATGCAGACACATATGTATACATACACGCATGTCAACATACAGCCATACATACTGACGCACACATACATGCATACATGCATACATACAGACACCCATACATATACACATACATGCATGCATGCATGCATGCATGCATGCATACATACAGACAGACATGCATTCATGCATACCAATACATATACATACATACATACATACATACATACATACATACATACATACATACATACATACACACATACATACATACATACATACATGCATACATACACGCATACATACATACATACATACATACATACATGCATATACATACATACATACATACACACAGTTACACTTATATGTACACAAACATGCATACATGTATATATACATACACACATACCTACACGCAAACGTACAAACGAACAAACACACATGCATACATTCATACATGCACCCCTACAAACATACATGCATACATACGTACACACATGCGCACACATACATACATACATGCATGCATGCATGCATACATACATACATACATGCATGCACACATACATACATACATACACACATACAAACATCAGCAGTTCCATGTGTTGCATATGATTAAGACATGTATATGACCCAAACGGAGGGCATTCCAAAGGTAGAGAGGCCAAAACACGGATAACCTAAGGGGACCCTTCCGAACACCAGGGTTGCTCTTACCCTCGTGCGAACTGCACTGCTGGTGTGCATCCTGATCTGGACCCGAGTCCAGCCCCAGATGTAACTAGTGCCTGTTTGGAGGCGGGGGAAGGCCCCGTTCGAGCACTGGTCCTCGGCCGAGAGGATCGGGTGCCAGGCGCAGCCCGCGTTCCCCCCTCCTACCGACCCGCCCGTGGTGCAGGCCCAAGTCTTGGCAGTAGCTGGTGAAGAGCGCTGCCGATCTTCTGCCCTGCAAGATGTATGGGGCGTCGCTGCGGTCCATCATATAGCTTTGCAGTGCAACTGCGCGGACCGCCCAGGTCTCAAAACCCAGCGCTCTAAGCGCGCGCAGGCGCGGCTGATGGGCCGACCCTGGCGATGCGTGCTGTTTGGGGACCTCTGTTGGCGGAGCCTCCTGCCGCCCGTGCTGCAGCCTCCCAAGGCCAGCGAGGGTGTGGGGTCTCAGGGGGAGGCCGGGGAGTGCAATACTTGATGAGATTCGGGGGGTTCAGCAGGAGGCGGGACGCCTGCTGTGATTCCCCAGCGTTAGCGCCACTCACGTAGCTCAACTGTACGATCCTGTTCGATGACGTCGCTCGCTTGGAGAGGTCCCGGCAGCATGATGATTCGGAAGATCGGCTCGGCGAGAGAGACGGAGCCTGAAGATCGCCAGGGTGCGAGGACGCAACTGACCTGGCTCGCATAGTCGGAATCCTCGCAGTCCTCTCTCTCTCTCATTCCATTTCCCGTCCTTCTCAATCTCCTGTTCTTCCTTCTCCATTCCATTGCCTTATACAATTAACTACTGCCTGCCGCACACCTATACGAGTCGGTAGGGTGTGCTGGGCGTTTCGCCTGACTTCCCACCACTTATAATCCTGAAGCTTCGCCTGGCGCCGCGCACATTCGTCTGAAAAAGTGTACAACTGTTTCGAAGCTGGAGGGCGGATGGATTTCAAGATGTGGCTCCCGCATTCTTGGCGCCGCGCATATTCGTCTTGTAAAAGTGTGTGTGTGTGTCACAACTTCCAAGGCTGGTGGGCGGTTCCTTTTCAAACTGTGGTGTTCGCTTGAGCGCCGTGCACCTTCGTCGTAACAAGTGTGCAACTGTTTCATTGGTTCGTCTGGCTGCAGTCCTCGGAACGGTGTTCTGGCACGGCGTAAGACTACCAGGACGCACCAGGCAGTCACGTTGGCTCTTGGCTCGCAAGTCCCAGAAATGACGTTCAGGCACGACTGAGGACTGCCAGGGCGCAATAGTGACAAATTGGTTCGCGGCGTTCAGGTCATAGCAACGGCGTCTTCGCACGATTAAGAAGTCTGAGACGGTTGTCCTCCCTTGGGGCACTTCCTGCAGTGACACGGAAACGTGCATGGGATGCCTGAAGGAGGAACTTGGAGGGAGGGATTATTGCAACATCGTTGACGCGCCTCGGGTTTACACTGGTCCTCCTCCTCCCTCTCCTCCTCCTCCTCCTCCTCCTCCTCCTCCTCCTTCCTCCTGGCACAGAGGAACCGCCGTGTCGCGTGGTCCTCGCAGCGCGCCGCGCGGGCGCGGCGCGCCGAGAGCGGGCAGGGGTGCCGCGGGCGGCGCCAGCTGGGCGGCAGCGTGTGGGGAGGGCTTCCGGGACGTGCACCGGTACCTGAAGTTGCTGGACGAGCGCGTTCCACGACTCGCAAAGTTACTGCTCGCAAGTGGCCTGGATCCGCCACATGGGGTCTACGATAGATCACACAAAAGCAGGCGTATGGTTTTCTGACGTTTGCGAGTAAGCAATTTGCGAGTAGTGGAACGCGCTCGGCGAGCACTGGCACATGAAGCTGCCGAGGTCGGATGCCCAGGGGGGGTCCTCCTGCTCCCCCTCCTCGCGCCCCTGGAGGGACACTCGCTCGCGTCGCTGCGATCGTTCGCCTGATATCGTCGTCGTCGTCGTCGTCGTCGTCGTCGTCTTCGTCGTCCATGCCGTCGTCGTTCGTCGACGCCGTCATCGCCGTCGTCTGCGGCCGCCCGTTATTTTCTGCAGGCCCCTGGCGGGGGAAGCCCAAAGGTACTGATGCCGTTACTACACGGCCCTCTGCCGGGGTGCAGTCTGACCAGAGCTTCGAGGCGAATCCAGCGGTGTCGACGAGGACCTCCCAGGAGGTCCCGAAAAGAGAGTAAACGAGAGAAAAGTAGCGGTGTGTGTGTGTGTGTGCGTAGCTTTTCCTCCTCTGACCTGGAAGGTCCAAACACCTGGTGCGACCCTGTCAGATTCCCGGCATTCGGCTCCTCGGCCCTCTTGGCCACCAGCTGGGCCACCTTCTCCGCGTGGGCCCGCGCCTCCTCGATCTCCTTTCGGGCGGGCTGGCAGAAAGTCCAGCGGCTGCCGGACAGGGGCGGGCTCCTGCTGTTGCCCCTCTTCCTCCACATCAGAATCGATGAGCATTGTGGACGCTTTTGCTTGGGTCAAGCGTAGGGTGACGCACGATACATGATGCTCAGGGTTCTATCACGCAGGACGCTGGATCGGGGATCCAGGAAGGTGTGACCCTCTCAAAGCTGGAATCTCTGGAGACGGCAAGTTAGCAACTAACTTCAATGTGATGCGAACGGTGCCAGCACTTCACGGTCTGGGAGTCCAAGGGGACTGGTGAGCACCTCCTGTTGCGCGCTCGCCCACGCAGGACACACGGCAGTGGATAAAGTCTGATTCTTATTTATGCCCGTTGCACAACCCCTGGATGACTTTTGACGGGCACAGAAGGAGATCCAGAGTCATCGGTGGAGGAGGGGGGGAGACTTCGCAGAGTGGGGGGCTCTGCGGGGGTAGGGTAGCCGTTCGCCTCGTCCTCCTCCTCTTCTTCCTCCTGTCTCCTTCTTTCTCGTCCTCCTCGTCCTCGCCGTCCCCCTCCTCTACGTCCTCCCCTCCAGCGCCTCCTTTGTCCTCCTCTGGGAAAGAAGAATGAGGACGTGAGACAGGTTGCCGGTGGGACATGTGGAAATTCTGACAGAAGCTGCTCTGAGCGCTCGCAGCCCCGGTCACGGGCACTGCAGGGCATGTGAACAAATACGCCCAGGCTGGCTCTGGACATCCCCCGATGCAAAGGCGAAAGGCTGAACCGAGCTGAATCACGCGTCCTCGGGTGAGTCTTTCTGGACGCTCGACCTAAAATCAGCCGCCTCGGTTTAGTAGCCTCTAGTGGCCTTTAGCGGCCTCGAGTGCATTCTCAGCGGCCTCCAGGGGCCGCCAGTGGTCTTCTGGCAGCCCTCAGCGGCCATCAGCTGCCTTTAGCGACCTCGAGTGGCCATCAGCGGCCTACAGTAGCCCCTACAGCAGTGTACAGAAGCGAGCGATGCATGCTCACACGCGCTTCCCCACGAAGACCCACTTGGGCGTCCCGCTGCCCCCGCCGACCCTCTGGAGAGACCGTCCCCGGGTCCTCGCGGGGGACGAGCCGGCGAGGCCCTGCCTCGAGAGGGACCCACGCCCAGGCCACGGACGGAGGCCCCCGCGCGTGCAGGCGGAGCGCGGGCAGCCAAGGGGTGGACCTGAAGCCCCGGGCGAGAGGAGCTGCGGGCATGCACAACGCAGCGCACACGCACGCGCAGAGGAGAGAAGCCTGAGAGGGAAGGCGGTAAGAAGCAATCGAAAGAGCGGACGAGGGGAGACAACGCGGCTGCAACAGCAACGTCTGGCCACGAGGCCAGTCAGGTGGCGGAAGTTGCGCGGGCTGAAAACTACAGGAAGCAATGAGGTGAGGCTGCGAAGAGGAGGGGGCGATGGAATCAGATGGCGCATGCGTGGCAGCAGAGGGCGTTGACAACGAGCTGTAGCTAAACGAATTCGATCGGCCAGGGAGTTCGGGTTCCCAAGTCAGCGCTCCTGAACCCTGGCACGACGGTCGTTCGGCCCGTCACTCGGAACAGTTGCCTGTCCACGTCTGCCACATGGTGGCATTGATCCCCCAGAAACCGATGTCAGTCACGTCCAGCGTGAACTTCAGGCGGCCAAGCGAGTCGGTCTGGCCCTTCGCGAGGTTGTGGACGCCGCTCGACGAGCGGGTAAATAACTGGTTCCTGGAATAATTCGTGCCAATCTCCAGCTGGTCACTGGACGTGGAGTCACCCTCCAGGTGATTCACCACTGGCGTCCAAAATCGCAATATGAATCGCTGACGCTGACAAGTACTGTCGGTCGGGTAGGTCTACGGACACGTAGCGGATGCCGTGTTTGACCTCTTGCGTCAACCCAATTCAGTCGCTTGCCAATGAATCAAAACTCGACCTCGTTGGCCAGTTCCCCATCGCCAAACGTTATGGAGAATCTCCAGCTGGATGGGGCGAACTGAATGGCATCCGAGAAAATGTAAAAATGTAAAGGGCGTCTGCTGCCCAATTACATCCAGAATTGCACGTGGGTAGACCGAGATCCAGAGCCTGCATGTGTCCTGGCCGTCAGCGCTAGATTGCAAGCCACCGCCACCACCATGGGCCCGAGTACCCTCACTGCCTCTAGGAACAGGGGCTTTCGTGGTGCAAGTCGGCGAAGCCAGGCAGAGTGTCTTCGCTGTGCTCGCCCGCTTGGCCTCCAGCTCCTGAAACTTTACTTTGTCAACCGGCAGGCGAGCATTCATGTGCTTGAACTCACGCGTGATCTGCGCATGGGTCTCGTCCACCTCTGTCGTCACGGTGGTGAAGGGGCCCTGCATGAAGGCCTCGACCCACGCAGGAGCAGTAGCTGCATCGCCGCCTATTGTTAGTCCGATGCCTACGCGAGGCGTCCGACAAACGAAGTAGAAGAATGAGCCGAAGTCGGTGCTCATACTGGCCGAAATCCGCCGACCATGTCGGCGTGTGTGAGGGGTTTATCCATTCGAGTCGGGTTCCGTTGGTGTCGTCCAAGAAGCCCAAGTCCTTCTAAGGCCCAACCGACATCCGCCGACCCTGACATCCGTCAAGCCTGCCAGCGAGAGAAACACCTAACAATGCCATAATCGACTCGAAGGGAAGCCCTTTCCCTTTGATCCCTCTCCCGTCGGGGGGGTCCGATACGCATTTCCCCTGGGGGGTCCGGTCGTCGTCTTCAGGGTCGGCGGCACCGGCCGTAAGGCCTTCGCAATCGGGAACTGTTCCGAAATAGGGGCGCGTGGGCCTCGTCCCTCGGCTGTGTCCGAGACCCTGGCGTCGGAGACAAGTTTGGGCTTCGAACCAGAACGGCTACGGATTCCTCCTCCTGTGCCTCCTTTTCCTCGGATGTGCACTTTCGCTCCTTGCCTCGGGGTCCCTGGCCCTAGACCCGCCAGTCCTGCCCCTAGAAGATGGCCCCGAAGGGGAAGGAAGGGGAGGGCAAGCGGGCAATGGACGGGGAGAAGTCGGGGGATGGAACGGACGAAGTGGACGGGGCCTGCGGCGAAATGGGAGGAGGGACTAGCAAATTGAGTGACGCTGGCAGAAAGGAATGCTGGACACGGCAAGGAACAACCGTGCTCTCGCGCACCGAGCACAACTGCATCATACTTCAGCGGGATGATGCGATCCAATATGCTACTACACCAGGAACTAATATTAACACAACTTCAAACTAAGAAAACAGACTCTGCAAGTCTCGCTTTCTGAACGAATGGTCTACCACTGGGTCTGAAACCAACTACAGGAGTATACGCAACACAAAAACAACATAAGCAAGATGCTGAACAGAAGGAACGGAACAAAGGGGAAGAGACGACACTACACATCACGTAATATCTCCACGATCTACGCTGGAATCAAACTTCCCCTGCATGCTAAGAACACTCAGGCTCTGATGTGGCAACCGCTTTTGTGAATCCACTTGATGGGTGTATCTCAATATACTGAACACAAGTAGGAGGCTAAGCCTGAAAGCTTCAGATGTGCACATCCAAACTCATGAAATGCACGCTGAGAGCCAGCGCGCAGAGAAACAGGCCGAGAAACGCGAAGGGCGCAGGCCAGTATGAAAAGGAGGGAGCGGGAGAGCAAAGAGGAGGGAGGAAGAGTACAACGAAGCTAAGCTGAGCAATTCAGACTTCGCTATGCTTCTAGAATCTCTGCTTGCGGCGTCGGGCGGCGGGCGTCGGGCCAGGCGGCACGTGTGGCTTCGTGCTGGATGCCTCGCTGGGCTTGCACGTCAAGATGAGGCAGCAGGAGGAAGACGGAGGCACATAAAGATGGACTTGAGGGGGGAGAGAGGATGTGCAGGAGCACGTAGGGAGGAGAGCAGTAAGAACTCGAAGATGGAGAAGTGGAGGAAGGTGAACATGAACGAAGCGGGAGGGTGATGAGGAGGAGGAGGAGGAATAAGGAGAGGGTGGGGAGATGAGAGAAGATAACGCAGAGGAGATGGAGAGGGATGTGGGGCGACGAGAAGGTGTAGGCAGAAGAGGCTCGGGTAGAGAGGGGGGACAGATTACGTAGGAGGATCGAAATGGCCGAAGCGGACGAGGCGTAGGAGGAGGTGGGAGTGAGTGGCATCAGGAGACGGTGGAAGACAAGAAGGAGTGGGAGAAGACGCCATCGAAAAGAAAGAGGACGAGGAGGAGCGGCAGTACCATGATGGGTTCGATGTGGGAGAAGGAGGGGGGAGAAGAGGAGGAAGATAATGACAGCGACGACGGCGTCGGCGGCGGAGGATCTTGTGCATCTTGCTCGTGGGGGTTTCCAGGCAGGGGGTGAGGCAGATTGGTTGGACCGACCCCCTCCGTTAATCCTCCCTCGGCTCGAGTCAGGGCATTTGGACAGCCCCTCTCAACTAAGTTCAGTTCCATCCTGTGTCTGCTTCGGCCGATTTCTGCTTTGTCTTGTCCGAAATGCTTCTCCAAATTTGGAATGGCCGGGGGGAGGGGCAGAAGGCTCCTAGAAACTGTCACGAGACTGGCCAACACTGTCTCCGAGGTTCCGGGCCACACTGCCCTGGACCCACTCTGTTGAGCAGGGACTGGCCGCCCAGGCATTCCTATAGGCCTACCACGAAGTGTGCTTGGAACGAGCGAATGTTCGAATAATAAAAACAAGGCTCACGTGAATCCGATGTGCTAGTGAAAACAAGACGGTCGTAACCCAAGCATGTTCTGAGAACATGTCGTGCGAACCGCGAAAGGTTATTAGAACAGCCTCTCATGCGCCTACAGGCAGGCCAGGACGCCTCGCCACTGCTTGCCCCTCTGCCTGACCCCCCCCCTCATGGGAACCTCCAGCTCCTCCCCTTCGCGGCCGCCGGACGGCCGGTCTCCTCCATCTGCCTCTCACCGCCACGCTTCCTGGCACTGCTGGGGGGACCCATCATTTTCCCGACGCAAGGGGGAGCCCGCGTCCTCCTCCTCCCCCTCGTCTTTCTCTTCCTCCTCCCCCTCCTTCCCCTTATTCCTCCTCCACCTCCTCCTCCTCCCCCTCCTCCTCCTCCCCCTCCTCCTCCTCCCCCTCCTCCCCCTCCTCCTCCTCCTCCTCCTCCTCCTCCTCCTCATCATCATCATCCTCCTCCTCCTCCCCCTTCCCTCCCTCCTCCCCCTCCCCTTCTTCCTCCTCCTACCTCTCCTTCCCCTTCCTCCACCTCACCCCCTCCTCCTCCTCCTCCTCCTCTTCCTCCTCGTCCTCCTCCTCCTGCTCCTCCCCCTCTTCTGCAAACGTGACCTCCAAATCACATCTCCAACGTCACGACTTTTCCGTCGCCAGCGCCGCCGGAACTCTCGACCCCGGTTTTCTTCGAGGCTCGTTTCTTGGTGGCCCCAGGGCTCGAGACGCCCGAAGTGGGCATCCAACATCCAAAACAACTTAAGAAGGAAGTCGCGACCTATTTCCTTAATCGGCATATCTGCAATAACCCAAATCCCGAAACCTTGTCTCGTGGTCTCCCGTGTGGCCACCAATTTGATCCCCGTGTGTTCTCCCGCATTGTCCTCCGTATGGTCTCCCGCATGGTCTCCCATAGAACTGGGTGGACTGCTGGATCCCGAATATGTGTCTCGTGGTCTCCCGTGCCGTCTCCAGGTGCAGAATGACATGTTGATACGATTCCACTGCGGTGGCATAGCACGAACATGACCATAAGACCAATCCAAAAATGAATAGTTATGCCTTCTAGCCCCATCGTGTCCCGACAGTATCATGCGGGCCAGAAGGCCATAACATGTACCTGTTCTCCAGTTGTTGAGGATCGGCTGCGTTGGACCCCCTCACAGTTCTGTGCAAATAACTGAGCTGTTTCGCGCATGTTGGAATCTGCGTGGGTGAGCACTCGCAAGAGCAAAGAGGCTGACATATGTACCTCGACTTGGAAACGCAAACTAAACATTAATTGTTCAGTGATCTAGATTTGAGTTCTAGCTTGCGCACGCATGTGAACCGAAATATGATAGTCCACGGGGGCGCGCGACATATCTCAAACCATGTCCACCGCATCATCATAAGCAAAGCTCCGGGGCCATATCCGGAGGACCAACGAAAAGGATTATATCACTGTTCGTATGGACGCGCTTTTTAGAAAACATACGGAGACACGCACAACAATAAACAATCAGACGGACAGATCCGGCCGGCACGGCCCACTAGCTAGATAAATGATTACCAGCCAGCGTGGATATCAACCTATGTGTTTCTAATAATCTATGTGGTGCAATCTGCGTTGTGCACTCTACGTGGTGCAGGGAATGTGGTGCAATCTATGTGATGCACTCTACCTGGTGGAATATAGGTTGAGCAATCTGTGTGGTGCAAAATGTGAGGTGCATTCTATGTATATGTATATGGTGTTTGCTCTCCGTAGTGCAATGTATTGCGTAAAATAGATTAAGTCAATCATTGTTTTGCGTTTTATGTGGTTCGTCATATGTTGAGAAATCCATGTGGTGCAATCTACGCGGTTCAATCCATGTTGCGCAATCAATGTGGTGCAACCTAAGTGGTGCAATTAATCTTTGACCGTCTTGAAGCTGTCCTCTCCACTGCTCATGCAAACATCCCACCGTCCCACTTGGTCGCAGGACCTCTTCAGACAAGACCGTGACGGTACGTACCACATGACACTTGGCCACGACACCGACGCCGACGACGACAGCGACAACGACGACGACGGCGCCGCCGACACCGACTACGACGGCACCGCCGACGTCTCCAACGACTTCGACGACGACATCGACGACACCGACGACGACGACGACGTCAACGACGCCGACGCCGTCAACGACGACGACGGCGACTACGACGACACCGACGACGTCTACGACGACTTCGACGACGACAACGATGCCAACGCCGACGACGACGAAGACGACGACGACGTCGCCAACGAAGACGACGACGAGAGAGGAGGAAGGACGACGACGGCGACAACGACGACAACGACGACAACGACGAGGGAGGAGGGAGGACGGCGACGACGCGAACGACGAAGAAGGAGGAAGGATGGCGGCGCCGACGACGACAACGACGAGGGAGGAGGGAAGACGACGACGACAACGGCGACGACGACGACGGCGACGAAATAGGAGGGACGACGACGAGACGCCGACGACGAACGACGACGACGACGACGAAAGAGGAGTAGGAAGGACGACCACGGCGACAACGACGACGGAAACGACCACGACGCCAAAGAGGACGACGACGACGAACACGAGGAAAGACAGAGGACGACGTAGGCGACGACGACGACGACGACGCGGGAGGAGGGAGGACGCCGACGACGACGACGACGACGACGACGCAAGAGCGCGCGCGCACGCTTTTGTTGAAAATCCGTGTTGCGAAACCTTGGGTTTTTGTAGGATTATTGGACTCACGATTTTGAAATCCTTCCGAAGCCGAAGGGTTTTGAAGGTTTTCGGCACACGCGCGCGACGACGCGCGCGTCTGCACTTCGTCTCATTTTTCGCGGAGGATTCTCGCGACGGCACACTCGCAAGGGCGTTCGACAGATTTCGACATGCGCGCGCGCAAAGACCGTTTAATGGCATTTTGTGTAAATCTTGAAAAACCTATGGTTTTGGTAAGATTTCGCAAGAGCTCTCGCGGAAGCTTTTTAGCAAATCAATGTTGCGAAACCTTGTGTTTTTGTATGCTTTTTTTGGGAACTCGATTGCGAAATCCTTCCGGAACCGGAGGTTTTTGAAGGATTTCGGCATGTGCGCGCGACGACGCGCGCGTGTGCACTTCGTTCCATCTTTTTGCAAGGGATTCGTGAAAAAGTGTTATGTTAGAACAAAAGATGTCACCGCACAGTGTTTTTTACAAGGGACCCTTAGGGGGGGATGCTGGCCCGGCCCCCCTGGTAGTGCAAATTCATATTTAAGATGGACATGTGGTCAGAATCGCAAATGATTTACATACCCGATAAGGGGGGGTGATAACGCGGGGGGGGGTAGATCCTATCCTGTTGAAAGGAGAATCTATGTGTTGCAAAATATGCGGTGCACCTTACGTGGTGCAATCTTAGTTGTGCACCCTACGTGGTGCAATATATGCTGCGAAACCCATGTGATGCACTCACTCTATACGATGCAATCTATTTGGTGCAATCAATCACTTCCTCAATTTGAAGCTGTCCTCTCCACTGCTCGTGCAAGCATCCCGCCCTCCCACCCGCAACTAAGTCACAAGACCTCTTAAGAAAGTGACGGCGGGTACCACATGGCACTTGGCAGCGACACCGACGCCGACGACGACACCGACAACGACGACGACGACGCCGCCGACAACGACTACGACGGCACCGCCGACGTCTCAAACGACTTCGACGACGACGGCAACGACGACGACGACAACAACGACGACGACGACGCCGAACTGACGACGACGACGGCGATGATAACGCCGACGACGACGACGCCGACAACGACGACGCCGCCGACGACGACGACGACGGCGACGACGACGAAGACGGCGACGGCGACGACCTTGCCAACGAAGTCGACGACGACGAGGGAGGAGGGAGGACGACGACGACGGCGACGACGACAACGACGAGGGAGGAGGGAAGACGATGACGACGACGACGACGACGACGACGACGACGACGACGACGACGACGAAATAGGAGGGACAACGACGAAACGCCGACGAAGACGACAAGGGAGAAAAGACGACCACGGCGACAACGACGACGGAAACGACGACACCAAGACGACGACGACGACGACGAGGAAAGACAGAGGACGACGTAGGCGACGACGACGAGGGAGGAGGGAGGAGGGAGGACGGCGACGACGACGACGCAAGAGCGCGCGCGCACGCTTTTGTGAGCATCCGTGTTGCGAAACCTTGTGTGTTTGTATGTTTTTGGACACACGGTTTTGAAGTCCTTCCAGAACCGGTAGTTGTTGACGGATTTCGGCATGCGCGCGCGACGACGCGCGCGTCTGAACTTCGTCCCATTGTTTGCCGGGGATTCTCGCGACGGCACGCGCGCAAGGGCGTTCGAAAGATTTCGACATGCGCGCGCGCGAAGCCCGTGTGGTAGTATGTTGTCGAAAATCTTGGAAAAAACCTATGGTTTCTTAAGGTTTCGCAAGAACGCGCGCGTAAGTTTTTTTGTAGAAAAAAGTGTGTTGTGAAACGCGTGTTTTGCATGTTTCATGGAAGCTCGATTTTGAAATCCTTCCGAAACCAAAACGTCTTGAAGGATTTCGGCATGCGCGCGCGACGACGCGCGCGTGTGCACGTCGTCCCGTGTTTTTTTTCTGCCAGGGGTGCTTGAAAACTTATGATGTTTGATAACAGAGAATGCGCGCATATATTGTTTTGCAGAGAGTGGAGAGGGGCAGTGATACCGACCTAGCTGGGATAACACGAACTCGCATTCAGGATGGACGAGTGTGCAGAATAAGTATGACATCGCAATACCCCAGGGGGGGCGTTAACTCCGGGGGGGGTGGGGGTAGAGTTCATTCTTCTTTTAGAAGAAAGCATATACGTGGTGCAATATGTGCAATGAGGATTTGTGGTGCAACCTATACGGTGCAATCTACGCTGTGCAATCCACTCTGCTGAACTTGAAGTCGTCATCTCCACTGCTCGCGCAAACATCCCACCCACCCACCCGCAACTTGGTTTGCAAAACCTGTTAAGACCGACTGCGAGGACACCGATGACAACGACTAGGACGACAACGACGACGTCTCCGACGACTTCGACGACGACAACGACGACGACGCCGACGACGACGAAGACGACGACGCCAACGAACGCGACGACAGAACCCGAGGAAGGACGACGACGGCGACAACGACGACAACGACGACAACGACGAGGGAGGAGGGAGGACGGC